TAGAAGTCAGGCATAATGCAATTATGTAACTTTTTATATCATTGTGCATATTTACACACACACATACACACATACGCGTTAACGCACTCATCGACATATATGAAAATAATATATTTACCTATATATCACACGTATTTACGGGTTTCCCGGGAAACCCACATGTACATGTACTTGGATGGCATATTATTCGGAATCGATTGTGAATTATATATCCACAGCGATGCCAGTTGCTTTGTCGGTGTTATACAACAAACAAAATTAAAACAAGAGCATTGTATGTATTCAAGAACAAAGAAAATGTATTAAAATACTAAAAAAAATATATATATTGTGCCTTTTTATTTGACCCTTAGGTCGGAACTTGGATTTCTATATTGTAATTTGGCATATATTCGAAAATTGCGCCTTTTGCTGGAAAATATGCAGCATAATTTTAGGGCGTTTATTTTAAATAATAAAGCTTGACAGCAGCTATTGAATCCATTAAATGCCACATGTTAGTAAAAAAAAAATAAATTTCTAAATTTGAATGCAGACTTTTAGAGAATTGCGTCACAAACATTTAGAGGTATCCCACTTCAAAATCCGATCAAGATAAGTTGAGTTATGGAGTTTGGAACTTCAGCCTTGTGACATTTCTTTATTTTTTGAGTTTCTACAACTTTACACATCAGAAAAATGACAAAATTTAAAAAAAAAATAAATTTCTAAATTTGAATGCAGACTTTTAGAGAATTGCGTCACAAACATTTAGAGGTATCCCACTTCAAACTCCGATCAAGATAAGTTGAGTTATGGAGTTTGGAACTTCAGCCTTGTGACATTTCTTTATTTTTTGAGTTTTTACAACTTTACACATCAGAAAAATGACAAAATTTAAAAAAAAAAATAAATTTCTAAATTTGAATGCAGATTTTTTGAGAATTGCGCCACAAACATTTAGAGGTATCCCACTTCAAAATCCGATCAAGATAAGTTGAGTTATGGAGTTTGGAACTTCAGCCTTGTGACATTTCTTTATTTTTTGAGTTTCTACAACTTTACACATCAGAAAAATGACAAAATTTTAAAAAAAAATAAATTTCTAAATTTGAATGCAGACTTTTAGAGAATTGCGTCACAAACATTTAGAGGTATCCCACTTCAAAATCCGATCATGATAAGTTGAGTTATGGAGTTTGGAACTTCAGCCTTGGGACATTTCTCGATTTTTTTGAATTTCTACATCATAACATCAAAAAAATGACAAAAAAGTTAAAAAAAAATAAATTTCTAAATTTGAATGCAGATTTTTAGAGAATTGCGCCATAAACATTTAGAGGTATCCCACTTCAAAATCCGATCAAGATAAGTTGAGTTATGGAGTTAGGAACTTCAGCCTTGTGACATTTCTTTATTTTTTGAGTTTCTACAACTTTACACATCAGAAAAATGACAAAATTTAAAAAAAAAAAAAAATTTCTAAATTTGAATGCAGATTTGTAGAGAATTGCGTCACAAACATTTAGAGGTATCCCACTTCAAAATCCGATCAAGATAAGTTGAGTTATGGAGTTTGGAACTTCAGCCTTGTGACATTTCTTTATTTTTTGAGTTTCTACACTTTACACATCAGAAAAATGACAAAATTTAAAAAAAAAAATAAATTTCTAAATTTGAATGCAGATTTGTAGAGAATTGCGTCACAAACATTTAGAGGTATCCCACTTCAAAATCCGATGAAGATAAGTTGAGTTATGGAGTTTGGAACTTCAGCCTTGTGACATTTCTTTATTTTTTGAGTTTCTACAAATTTACACATCAGAAAAATGACAAAATTTAAAAAAAAAAATAAATTTCTAAATTTGAATGCAGACTTTTAGAGAATTGCGTCACAAACATTTAGAGGTATCCCACTTCAAAATCCGATCAAGATAAGTTGAGTTATGGAGTTTGGAACTTCAGCCTTGTGACATTTCTTTATTTTTTGAGTTTCTACAACTTTACACATCAGAAAAATGACAAAATTTAAAAAAAAAATAAATTTCTAAATTTGAATGCAGATTTTTAGAGAATTGCGCCACAAACATTTAGAGGTATCCCACTTCAAAATCCGCTTAAGATAAGTTGAGTTATGGAGTTTGGAACTTTAGCCTAGGGACATTTTTTAATTTTCTTGGATTTCTACAATTTCGCACATCAGAAAAATGACAAAATTTAAAAAAAAAATAAATTTCTAAATTTGAATGCAGACTTTTAGAGAATTGCGCCACAAACATTTAGAGGTATCCCACTTCAAAATCCGATCAAGATAAGTTGAGTTATGGAGTTTGGAACTTCAGCCTTGGGGCATTTCTTAAATTTTTTGAGTTTTTGAGTTTTAAGTATGAGTCAGACCTAGTTGCAATTGTCATAGTAATAATTAAATCAGGAAGCTCACTTTCACCTTGTTGATTTTTTTATGCACAGCAAAACTTTAAGTTGCATTTATGCATTTTACATAACCCCAAATGACAATGCACATTGAAGGGCCAAAAAGCGAAAGTTCGTAATGCATTTTTAATAATGCAGCTAAAAAGGAAAAACCTTTCAAAGCAACGGATGCATTTAAAATGGAATTGTGGTATTCTCCATGGATTTGAGTGAGTATAGGTGCTCGCTAAAGTTGAAGCCAAAATTCAAACCCTGCTTTGGAAAAGAGCTTAAAGTTTGTCAATTGAACTAATCTGGACGTTCTGTAGAAAGCTTTAAGGATGTTCTGGTCCAGGATGCACAGCATTTGAAAACCGCTGAAAGCTCCGCCCGCCAATTGACCCACATATTTCAGTTAGTTATACATTTGAGTCTGGTCATTAGTTTTGCGTAAGGGCCAGAGAAAAAACTCCCATTGAAAGAGTCGCAGGCGTGCCAAATTGATACTATCAGTAATGAATAATAATGCCCAATAAGCGAGTCGGTTGATAATGACGAGATGGCCCATTACATAAACGAAAGCACATTGCACCGCAGCTTATTAGCGTTAATTGTTGGCGACACTCTTATACCCATTCCCATTTCCATTTCCATTTTCAATTTCATTTTCACATCTATTTCCATTTCGCTTTATTCCGCCGCCCGCCTTTGAATCCAAGCCATTCGAACTTGGCAAGTGTCTGTCCCCCTTAACGCTTAACGAGATTGCAGTTCGACTGGCTCTCCTCCGCTGGCCTTTGGTCATCGGCCACCGGCCATCGGCCACCGGCCACCGGACACCGGCTGATAAATGAGTCTGGGCCAGACATTATGCAATATTGGGGCCCTAAGGCGATTGGGACCGGTGCCCGAAATAGCCACCGAAATACGCCGCCATTCAAATGCATGATGCCCCAATAGGTGTTTATGCCAACATCATTTCATAAATGCGGCTTCTATGGGCATAACATTAGTGGTATCTTCCAATTAGATAGTAGAAATGGTATGCAAATATAGGAGTTCAAAATGGTAAATTTAACTATTCAACAGGTAAGACACTTCCTGGAAACAGAACAAATATTTAAATTGTTCACTTCAAAAAGGCAAAACAAGTACAAACTGTTAAATGTACTGAATAGAACCATCAGATGCGAATCGCAATAACTGAAAAAAGCATTTACAATTTGCATCGAGATGCAAGCACCAGGATTTGTGGCCCAAAGCACTGGTTTATTTGGGGAAAGGATGAGCCAGGGCAGAGAATAAACCGGTGACAGTTGGGGATGCGGCAATCGGATCGATAAATCAGGCTTGTTTATGGCAACAGCAGCGGCCATAACCGTAACTCCCGCCGCCGGCAATGGTGCCCAGTTCGAAAATCGAGTGGAGTCGCGTGGAGGGTTTCGGTTGTCCATGGGGCCATGACCTGCCCCAAGTGCTTTGCGTAACAACAACAGGAGTGTGGAACCTTGTTGTTTTTGGCTTTCCCAGCCAGTCACGATCGCCGCAATTTTCTTGTCACTGTCACCCAAAATACGACAAAAAACAAAAATGAAACAAAAAACCGCTCGGCACACGCAACAAAGCAAAGCAGCAACAGCAACATCGGCTTAAAAGACAAATAAACAAAGCGGCTGCCACAGTAAAAACTGCAACTGCACGAACAGCAGCAGTAACAGTAACAGAAACAGTAACAACAATAGTAAAGAGGAATACAAAAAAAAAAATTGTTGCAGCAACAACAGAAATTGCCGATTTGCCGCTGCTGATAAGAATTAAATTGGCTGGATTCAATGCGAGTATGAAATACTCTAACCAGGCAGTTTTTACTAAATCATTCAAGATATGGTTTCAATATATTTGAACCCTACATAAAGAATTATAATGAATAAATAAAATAACCAAAAATAAATAAATACCATAAATAAAGTTGTAAGTGAAATAAATGTATAAATACTAAAATTAATACAAAAATAAACTAAATAACATCATAAGCAAAATAATACTAACAATATATCGTTTTGGTTAGGGAATGTACATCTGACTGTCGTACCCAATAAAATGTATAATAATTTCTATAATATAAGAATTCTAAATGAATTAGCCATACTAAAAAATATGTATTTTTGGCTAACGTAATTTGTAATACAATGTATATTCATAAGGATTTTACCATTTTAAGCACTCCTTATGTGCTAAGTAGTTAGCTTAGTAGCTAAAAAACATCACAAATATGTTGGTTATTTTCTGAACAGATGTACACACAAAGCTGTCCACTGGCTTGTGCTACCCTTTTTCGGGTAGTGTACAAATGGTTTGCCCGCAAAAACAGCAAACAGCCGCAACGAGCGACAATTTAACGAGGCTGCTGCTGCCGTTGGATGTTGCTGCTGCTGCTGCCGTTGCTGCTGCTGCGTGGTGTAGCTGTTGCTGCGGTTTCGCCCCAGCAGCAACATTTTGGCCTCTGCCGCGCTCGCAGTCGCTGCCGCCGTCGCCGTCGCCGTCGCCGTCGACGTCGATGCCGACTTCTTCGGGCGGCGGTTTCCATTTCATTTTTAAGCTAACGCGCGCCGCGTTCAGCGTTTTAATATTTAATTGTCGTCGATCGCGAGCGGTTGTCATTGCTCCACTGGAATAGCAGTGGAATTGCCATTTGGACTGCCACGGCTGTACCGTTACCGTTAATCGTGAAGTGAGCCGGGAATTCGCCACGAGAACCGAGCCACACCATACCCGCTTTTTGTTCAGTGCTCTCAAGTTTTTTGTTCAGTGTGCAGTGTGCCCACCCCCAGTGGCCATGATTCCCTGGATTTGCCTGAGTGCGGCCATCGCGCTGATCCTGTGCCCGCCGCACAGCTCCGCGCGCAGCTACAGCAACGGCCTGATCTTCTACGAGCTGCGCACCCATCGAGCCTACCTCCCGCCCACGGTCAGTGTGTCCAGGGGCCGCAACCTGGCCAGCGTCAAGTACTCCGAGAAGGGCTCCATCTGGTCCACCTTTGGCCAGCCCTGCGAGTGCAGCGGCCCCACCTGCGGATGCTGCGCCGGTCTCAAGGTCGATCAGTACCGATTCGATCAGAAAGGTGAGCTGGGACACGAGTTTTAATTTTAATTTAATTAATTATTAATTGTATGCATGAGTAGGAGATCAGTACTATTGAATAGTCTGATATTTAAGGTAATTTCAAAGGCAGAATGTTTCCTGTGCCTAATCAGCCTAAAGCTCATATATTTTTCATTTCTTTAAAAATAAATTGGCTTCTAATGCTGTATAAATACATTTTTTTTTTTTTTTTTTTTTTTTTTTTTTTTTTTATTTGGAGTGTATAAGTTAGTTAAGAAGGCTTAACTCAGTAAGTTGCATATCATTTTAAATTAAATCTATTTCTAAATCTAAATTAAATTAATTCTATCTATTTTTTCGCGGTGTGCTTCTTATTAATTTGGCGATGAAAAGCAGCATTCATGTGGATTTTCATATTCAGTATGCCATTTAGCCTTAATATCTTAATATCCACTAATGAGCACTAGCTTAGCAATCCCTCGGAGCAATCCTTCGGTCATGTGGTTATGCATAAATTGGGATCTTTGCGGTCACTTAGCCGGGTCGGAATCGTGGCTCCTGGCCTGCGGGTGATGGCCACGTATATTTGGCTGCGATTTCGGCTGGATTCCGGGCCAATTCCGATTTCCTTGGCCAAGAAAGCAATCTTGGCCGCGCTTTGGCGGCGCATGCCGGAGACTACAATGCGATCGGTGGCTTGGCTTAGTTTCCATTTCGCTCCGCTTCGCTTCGTGACATGCCAGCATTTGCCAATCAAAATGCCACAAATTGTTGGCGCTTCCAGCGGCGGCCACCCCCTCATCCACAGCCACATCCAGCAACCGGCACCCAGCATTTGCCTGGGATCCGCCGACAGTTTGCCACCCGCCACTTTCATTCATTGAATCGAATCGCTTCATTGTTGTGCCTATCTGTAATTTTGACTCAACGTTTTCTTTCCATTTTGGCTCTGTTTGCAGTGTGCGCCAACGTGAGCTACGTGCCGCATCTGGAGGAGGCCCAACTGGAGGTCTTCTTGAACGGCAGGCCATCCTCGAAGTACGGGATCTCGGTGCGCAATCCGGCGCCCTTCTGCATTCCCGTCATGATGGGTGTGCCCATGGCCATGTGCGTCCAAATGACCGACGTGAAAGTGGTTGAAAACAACCTTAACATGTGCATGGACTTTGTGGTCCGGATGGCCACCACCGATCTCTTCGAGATGCATTTCCAGTGCATGCGAATGGGTCTGGATGGCCTGCAGTATGTGGACAAGAATGGCAAGCCCGTGCTGCCGGTGGGAGATGGTCAGAGCGACGACCCGGAGGAGTACGAGTACGCCGAGCTGGAGGATCAGCCGGAAGAGTATCCCTATCAAGAGGATGTCAAGGTGCACGATCAATCCCAGAGCAATCAGCAGAATGCAACACTGACCACCGCTCAGGTTAAGGAGGATGAGCAGGAGGAGAATCAATCAATGGGTTATCCAGCTCTCATAAATAACCAAGCACAGAAGATTGAGCCCCTTTTAAATCTAGATGAATTGAGCCACCTACCCCAGAGAAATCAAACACTAGGCGAGCCAGCTAAACAGGATCACTTGGAGAAGGAGGAGAATGAAGAAAACGAAGAACCAGGCTATCAAACACTGGGTCAAATTCAGGTTGAAGACCAAAACGAGGAAAAGCCTGCGGAAAAGGAACCAGAGATACAGCAGCCTTCTGCTGAAGATGAGCCAATGGGCTATCAGCCGCCGATGGCAATGGATCCCCACAAGGTGCAAGAAGAGGATCACCAAGGAGAGAAGGAGAAGACTCCTTCGGAGAGCGAAGGAGATCATCAGGAGGAGGAAGAACCCGAAGACGTGGAGCCCCTGCCAATCGAAAGTGAAATGCTAATGGCCAGCGATCAGGCAGAAGAAGCACCTCTCGCAGAAGAGGCCGAAGAAAGGCCAGCTGAAGACGCGAAAGAGACGGCAACAGAGGCGGCGGAGAAGGAGAAGGAGACGGAGAAAGAGAAAGAGACGGGGGCAGACTCGGAGCAAGAGACACCTGACAATGACAATGGTTATGGCGAGAGTGGCCCGAGGCCAAGTCAGGTAATTGAAACAATTACCAATTCAATAAAAGCCACTGAAGCGCCCACAACAACAACAACAACAACGAGCACGATAGCGACAACGAAAATACCAACAACAACGACAAAAATACCGACAACAGCTACGACATTTAACAAGCCAAACATTGTTATTGATGACACAAACAATGCGGAGAAGACAGTGGAAGCAGAGGGTGAGAAGACGGTGGAAGAGCCAGAGGGAGAGGGAGAGGGGGAGACATCTGAAGAGGGGGAGGCGGAAGACGACGAAGAAGACTCGACAACAGTGGCTGTTGAAATGGAAAACGATAGCGATAATGAGATAAACGTGGACGATGATGATGATGAAGTGGAGAAAAAAAACCGGGTGAAGGAACCCCCAAGCCAGGTGAAGAAGGGGGAGGAGAAACAGGAAGAGGAAGCGGGAGCGGGAGTGGGGGCGGGAGAAAAGGAAGATGAGGGCGTGCAGAAGGGGGAGAAAGAGCCGGAGAAAGAGGTGAAGGCAAGCCATGAAGAAAAGGTCAGCCCAAACGACACAGCAGCTGTATATAAGCAAGAAGAAGAAGATGAAGAAGAAGAAGAAGGGGGGGAGGCTGACAATGAAGAAGGAGAGGAAGACGAAGTCGATGAAGAAGAGCAGGAAGAAGAGGAAGACGAAGCGGAGGAAGCAGGCGAGGAAGACGCTGCAGAAGAATCCGCCGAAGCAGCGAAGCCCGAAGAAAGCGCAGTGAAAACTGATGAAAATGGCAACGGCTATGAAAATGCCTATGCCAATGCCAATGAAAATGCGAATGCCAATGAAAATGCATATGGAAATGCAAATGCGACGCCGGCAGCGAAGTCGTTGTCCCGACGCCGCCGCTTGCGCACCCGCCGCCTGCCACGCCCCCTGAGGAAACACCATTAGGCCCCCTCCTTAACTTAATTTATTGTAATTCGTAATTCGTAATTCGTAATTCGTAATTCATAATTGTTAATGAATTGTTAATGCTAAACGTTGAAGCCTGTTAATTAATACGTATTTATTGTATTTATTAAAAGCAACTCAAAGCCAAACTCAAGCAAAATAAACGTTAATTGTAATGTAACCACTGGCATTCCAAGCTTAATGACAGCGATTTTTCGAGGGTCGCCTGGTTGAAACTTAAGCCATATCCCAGGCACCTAATATCTGTATTATCTGGCAAAACTGCCCTGAAGGCAAATCGAAAGCTGTTAATAATAGCTTTCCACTGAGCACAACATTATTTCCCATCATTATGGCCTAGCTTGGCCAGTCAAAGTCACACTTTCGTTCAGTATCTTGCAAATTCCAGTTGGCCAAAGTCAGCGTTTCCCCAAATTAGCCGTATTAAGTTCAACATGTCATGGACGAGTGGCCTGTACAAGTCCCTGCTCCTGCGGAGCCAGCAGTCGCTGGTGCGTCCGGATCTCGCCCTGCTGGACCTCCAAATATCTAAGCGGACCATTCAGACGATGATCGGCCAGCAGCGAGTTTCGTGCTCCAGCCTCTCACGTGCCGCCGAAACCATTGCCAAGAAGTGCGACGAGCTCTTCAATGCCAATGAATTCGAGAATGCCCTAACCACGCTCTATGCGGACGGACGTCCGTTCGGCGGACAGTTTGCCCACGGGCGGTTCGATATGATTAAACAGAGGGTGCGGCATTGTCCATTGTTAATCAGACTTAGGGCTACTTCATGGACGCAGCTTTTGAAATAACACTGTTCCTCTAGAGCCTCTCCGTTTTCGAAGACACCTTGGGCGAGTCCCTGCGCCCCTTCATGCAGCAGCACAGTGGCGTCCTGGAGCAGGTCAACCGCCGGCAGAAGGAGCTGGCCGCCCACGTGTCCCGCCCACTGTGGAAGGCGCTGCGCGACCGGCGGCAGTGCGACGTCCAGAGTGTGCTCGTCAAGGAGCGGCCCCAGCTGACCTCGCTGGAGAAGGCTCGTCGGCGGGCGAGTGAGCGACTGTACAACTACAACTACTTGGGCCGCAGCGCCGTCGACGTTGCGCTGCTGCGCCAACTGCGCGGCGACCGCGGCTTCCTCGATCCGCTGAGGCTGGTCACCACGCCCCCCATGCGCAAGCTGGCCGAGGAGCAGTTCACGATTGTGCGGCGTCTTATGGTGAGTCCAGTGCGGAGCTTTAGCACCATTTCCCACACACTTACTCAGCATTTCCATAAATTCACTAGAAAATGCTTCACGCCCGCAATCCGATGTACAACCGGCGCTACGTGCGGCAGCGGCACGGCAGGATTGCGGACGAGGAGCGGCGCCGGTGGCAGGAGATGCACCTGTTCCACGCCCAGTACCAGACGCGACGCGACTGCATGCGGATGCTGCTCGAGGTGCAGAGGCGGCGCCGGGAGGGCGACGTGGACAGGCTGTCCGACTACGTGGAGCAGATAATGTCGGGATTCGTGGAGTACAAGACGCAGCGCACGCTGCCCTGGAAGTGGGAGTTCATCAACGACGTCTACAATACCCTGGCACTGGCCCACTGCGATCGGTGCAGGGTGCCAGCCAATGTGGACTTTCTGCAGGCCCAGAATCGACCCGTCTTGTACCTACTGCAGGCGGAGAAGCTGCGCGACATGAGCGTCAGGTTCGGGGGACCCAACATCTATGTGGAGATCGAGAAGGAGGATGAGCGGCACAGCCGAGTGAAGTGAGTTGCCAGTATAAATATGTTTTGCACATATTCAGGCATTTCTGCATTTTCAGCCAGAAGCTGGAGCAGCTGGAGAATCGCCTGCGCCACTCCCGCTTTCCCATCGAGCGATCCTACTTGTTTTTCGAGATCGCGCGCTGCCACTTCAAGGAGTCCCGCTTCGACAAGTGCCTCGTGGTGGCGCGCAAGGCCTTCAACGGTGGGTTGCCCACTTAGCCCACTCAACCCACTTAACCCACTTAACCCACTTAACCCACTTTAACCACAGAGGCACGCAGCTGCAACTGCCTGATCTGGCGGTTCAACAGCATCTTCCTGGGCTGCCAGGTGCACGCCGTGCTGAATCGCTTCGAGAGGCTGAAGGAGTCGCTGGCGCGGGCGAGTCAGTTGGCCAGCGAACTGAAGGCGCCGCAGCTGGTGGCCTACATAGGCATCTGCATCAACGTGAACAACTACGACCTGGCATTTCGGCGGATTCGGCAGTCGGATGTGGGCAAGCGGAGGTCCAGGAAGCGAAGTCCCGTCAGCACCATCACATCGAACAGCTCGCAGGGATCGCTCAGCAGCACATAGTGTACACTTGTTGCGCTTGGCTCTGCATTTCACTGCAATCTGTGGAATGTAAGGCTAAGCGCAACAAGTTGCAAGTTTAGGGACGCGTTTTTACCAATCGATTCTTACCCTTTGATTCGCCTTTTTCCGCAAATAAACGCAGGGCAAGGGTCCATTTAGATAGCTTTCGAGAGAAATGCAGTGGCATGATAATTTTGTCTCAATTCAGATATAAATTACAAAACCTGCTTAGGAAAAGGGGTTAAATGCGGACTCTCCCACGCAAACACTTGCAAACAAAAGTGTTGGATTTTCACAGCATTTAGCGTTGGCCCAAATGTTGCAATGGCTAAATTAGTAAGCGAAGCGCGGGAAAGAAGCGCCACAAAAATAGCCGAAAGAAAGAAACACTCGCACAATGAAAGGGGGGCCATTAGGGCCGTGAAAAACAATAACCCCCATAATCGGGCAATATTATATAACACTTGAATGCCGGCAGCTGAAATTATTTAATTATGCTGCCTGCTTCGTCCGCCTTTCGTGGCGGCGATTATACGACAATTATTACAATATTTATTTATAATTTTTAATTGCTTTTATTTTTCACATCGCTTGCGAATGCCCTTTGTTGCGTAGTAGTTTTTTGACTCATTTTTTTGTTTTTTGTTTAGTGGGTAAAACTTTGCATAAGCAACTTGCCAGGGGCGCGGTTTCCAGGGGGCATAACTCTTCATTTGTATGCCAGCGGGAGTGTGGGTGTTCGCTTTTTTTTCTTTTATTTCGATTTGCTTTTTTGCGGAAAGAAAGTTAGCTGACAAAAAAAGGTGAACTGGACATGGGGCAGCCGCCAATTAAATGTTTTGCTGTTGCCGCTTTATCGCTTTTGGCAATAGCGCAACAAGCCAGGCGAAGTGTCGTCGAAATGCGACCGAAAACAATAAATAAGCGCGGGGCAAGCAAAGTCGAGCAAAAAGCGAGCCAACAGCTGCATTTCAATTGAATTTGCAGGCAGTGGGTCCCAAACTGTGGCTGCCATGGGAGAAATTGCAGCTATTAGGGGCAGTCTTGTGCGAAAAGTTTGAAGTGAAAGAATCTGAAAGAATTTGAAAGAATTTGACAAATTTAATCAGAGTTGCTCAACTATTAACTAATAACCGCTGCTTAACATATACGAGTGTTGGTTGGTGAAAGTTAAATGAATTACCTATTCTCGACTCTTCTAACTTGGTAAAAGTTCGTGGGAAACGAATTTTCTTATAAAATATATTTTATTTTATTCATATGAGCTATTTATATAATTCCTAAATGACTAGCGTTGAATAATACAATTACTGTGAATTACAGTGTTCCTAATTGCAGGTAGTTTCCTTGCTCCGTAAGCAGCCAGCCAGTTGAGCCGCACTTGTTGCTGTGTGACCTGTGACCTGTGACCTGCCGCCACCTCCAGCCAATTAGCCAGTACTCACACGCCCTGTTGCATGCATAAGCGGCACTCCAAATCAAAGTCGATGTGCCGGGCCAGTGGGCGGGGAAGGAGCAACGGAAAGAACAACTTCTGCGGCTGAAGCTCCACTGGCATGCACTGCAAGAAACGGACTCGAGTTCTTGCCGCACATAATAAGGCCAGAGATAAATAAGGCGCGGTAAATAATAGCACTGGATTTCTAAATCGAATCAATTGTCATATAAAGGTATGTAAACAAATTATGCTGCCAATTTATATTTCGCTTGGTGTCTGTTTGCCCAGTGCAAGTACATAAAAAACTCATAAGCACAGGTGTGGCTGCCTCGTGCAGGTGCAAATTGAGCTCACCTGAACGTTGACTTTGTGCCAACTGATAACACACGCAGATGGAAGCCGTCGGCAACGGAAGGCGCCAGCGGGGGTGAAGGAGCACAAGGACAGGGCCGCCAAATACGGCCGGACACTGGGGTAATTAGCCGGACTTCCCCGGGACAGAGTGGCGGTCAGGTGTCGACCTGATCCGAAAGACAGGCCTCAAGTCGCCAGGGGCCAGCTCGAAACAGTGGTGGTCGCAAAATTGGCGCTGCCTCCAGGGTAGCCAAGTGTGCGGTAGAGACCATTCGCCACGTGAGTAGATTCCCACTTCAAATGCAATAGTATAAAATAGAAATTTAATCGCCATAAAATATTTAATTTAATGCCCACGTAAGTGAGTTTACTGCCCACGTAAACAGTGGTGGTCGCAAAATTGGCGCTGCCTCCAGGGTAGCCAAGTGTGCGGCAGAGGACATTCGCCACGTGAGTAGATTCCGACTGCAAATGCCATAAAATAAAAATAGAAATTTAATCGCAACATAATATTTAATTTAATGCCCTCTGAGTTTACGGCCCACGAGTGTGTGTGTGCCCAAACAGCGGGATATCCTGCCACGACTGTGTCGCCGCCCCTTGCATCCTTTTTTGGGAGCGGGAGCGGGTGCGGTGGGGGGCACTGGCAGCTCGGAGATCCGAGATCCGAGTGCGCGGAGCCGAGCTGTACGAGCTGCTCGGCTTCGGGCGGCAGCATCATTTCCATGTGGCCGTGGTGGCCGCCAGTCGCCGGATGGGCGCCTCAGTTCGCTTTTGTGTCGCCTTGTGGCAGGTCGCCTCCGCAGTCGGCTACTTGATACCCGATACCTGGGAACTGCGCTCCGCCATCGCACATACGCCCCGTTGGCCCGGCACGAGAAGCACGGAACAGAAGCTGGGAAAGTGCGCCAACTGGACTGGATTTGAAAGTGCCAAAGGATAGGCGTTGCCTGGCCTCCTTGGAGGTGAGCGACTGTCATCCCCGTTCGATTTATTATTTATAAACAGTGTCTCCGTCTTGCGGCGACAACACTTTGCATAGTTAGTTGGGCCATTAGCATAAAACTTGCATTTCATTACACTCTATTTTTGGCCTGGTCCAGAAACTCGAATTATTGCAACGGAGATTCCACTCCACACACGGCGCTTTACGATTTTATGAGCTCCTAGGGAGTCCTTGTCCTTGTCCTTGTTTTCCCCAAGTTTTGTCTTAGTTACTGAACGTGTATCTCACACTCGGTGTGGCCATTACTTTGTCATTTGATGGGGCCTATGTTTTGTGGCCACAAATCAAAACACGGACTTAATATCAAAACATAGGAATGGCAGCAAAAAGATAACAAACACATAAACTAACAATATTTTGTGGCGCAAAGTGCTATTCAAATATTACTACTGTTCGGCCTTGTATTCAAATGGTTAAATGGCAGTTTTATATTTTTAGAAGCTAATGTAAGCAAAGTAATATGCACCTAAGTCCCTAACAAACTATAATTTATCATCAAATTGCATAGTTTAACTTCTTGCTATTAATAAACCTAAATGCCGCTTGATTGTATGTCAATAAATATATTTCGTAATTGAAAATGAGCAAAGATTTTAAAGAGAAAATTCTTGGTATTTTGATGCAGTCAGATGAACGGCAAGCAAGCACAACATTTCCATTGTCACTTTCAATAATGTGCAAGACAATAGCAGGCGGCCCACACTTCGTATACTTAATATTTATGACACTTGGCTGCATTTTCCCATATTCTCACTCACATAGTCGGAGCTCCGTCAGCGTTTCGGTAATCAGCCAGGTGAATTGCAACGCAGCTGACAATGCACCAGCCCATGTCCTCCTCCTGACTGATTGGCTCCAGTGTGGGATGAACGAGCTGCATAATGCCGATCCAATCATCCGTGCCATCCAGCTAAACGTGTGTGGCAGTCGAAAGGTTGCGGGCACCTGGGGCTTGGAAAATGCAGGGGGAGGGTGGGCGGAAAATTCAGAAAAACGCAGGAACAGGCGTTGCCGACATCATGAAAAATTCATGACGCATACCAACTGATTCTGGGCGCCACCTGTCGAAACGCATGCATAATTGAAAACTGCATTGGCATCGACTGCAAAACGGCCAACAGCAGATGGAATCTGGGCAAACAGCATTCGTTTCACTCGGAAAAGCCTCCTTTAAATCGTATATCGCTGCCTTTTTATCAGCCCACATGCATGTTTGTTTTTTGGCCAACGTAAAAGCAAAACTTAGATCATTATTATTCTGTACAACAAAGCCAAGCCGACGTAAAGACAACATTCTTAAAAGAATGCCCCAAGGAAGGACATGGGCAAGAGAATATTTCACAAAGTGCAGGGCACTAGCATGTCTTATACTTTGTGCTGGTGCTGAAAGTAAATGAATACCATTTGAACTCTAATAGCATTTGGCTGGGAAATGTGTATGTTAATTTGGGCTAAGTAAAAGCGCACCATTATTCCTTTACTTTATTATTCCAACATTACTAAAGCAATATTTTGCGGAAAAGCATGAGAATATCTGTGCTATTAGTCCTTAAATGCATTAATTAATGAATGTTTATGCCAGTAAATTATTATATCAGTTGAATTTATGCGAAAAATGCTAGCCATACAAACAGTCTATGTTTTTATATTATCAAACTTCTTTCTCTTGGCTATCCGCCTCTCGCATGTCGGATAGCCAGTAATTGTATCTGTCGGATAGATAGAGCTATGCAATCCAACTGTCACCCTACTCTTCCTACTCCAGTAGGTATATATTATCCGTTTTCGACAATGTTCCCTGTTCATCGGTTGCTAACATAGAAAATGCACATTGCGAGCAACTGGCTGGCTGGCAATAAATCCAACGATAATTTGATACGCGGAGTTTTACGACGCTTTCGGCGACCCGGTCGCTTGGCAACCCCCTTGGCCCTCAGTGGGTTAATGCCCCAAGTCGGCTGTCAGCACTGTAAAGTGGCGGAGCCCTAAGCCCCGGTTCCAAAGCCCGAAGACGAGGGCCCCAAGCCCAGAGCTCCAGCTAAGCCAATTAAATTAGACGGCGGACTGTTAACTGTTGCATATCTTTGGGGGCTTCGCTGGGTATCGTGGGTTAATCGGGGGTTAAGTGTTGGGGGGGCTCTACTTACAACAATTGGACGGCGTAATTCCCAACATTGCGAATTAAAACAAACAATTCGTTTTTAATTTCCGACATTCTTCAATGCCCGCCGTTAAGCAGCTTGTTTAGGGGTGATCATCATTAATGCGATTATTATTTTCCTTTGCGTACTTTCACCTCTAAAAAATGTCCATCAACCTGCTGAAATATTCCCAACAAACCCAATGACACCCAACTATTTATTTAATTATTATTTA